TTAGGGGTTTAAGTGGAGAGAAAATGTTTTGAGAAATGATGTACAAATGCGCTTTACACAATTGATGTGTGTATAGATTGGGATAACAGTTGTATGAGCCCCTAATAAAATGTTAAAAAAAAAAAAAGAATTGTATGAGCCCCCCAAAATGATTTTAGAAAAAGTAATAAAAAGTTTTGTTCATATTGGATTTATAATGCATTGATTCATGCCTTGGATTTTGTCATTCTTTGTAAAATTAGCAGATATTTTTTAACATGTTTGAAGATAGATAATGCATTTGATCTCCCCTTTGAGCCATTTTAAAGCTGTTTTAATTTTTGTAAAAAGTGAAGAATAAATACATGTCGATTAAGCCTTTGGTGAATCCATTCTGACCACGGACCAGGGATGTGAATAACCTTGCTATCATGCAGAATGCATTGAAAATGGATTGTTCCAGATGCAGTTAGGTTAGAATTTAGCACCCTTATGATCCATTTGAATTTGTTCTAGTTTTTAATATTTTCTGCATTCTTTTCAATTTAAGTTTTTGTCTGTTTTACTTTGCTTTGTTGCTAGATTAAAGCATGATTTTCTGTATATGAAATCCAGGAGAGGTGAATCCATAGAGAGAGTGACGGGATTTATGGCACCTTGGAGGTAGGGCAGGGGAGGGTGGGGGGAAATGGGGAGCTCCTAACGACGAGTACAAGAATGCGGAAAATGTTCTAGAACTGATGGTGGTGATGATTGGTGTGACTGAACTTTTGAATAGTGTGATATGTGAAGTACATGCCAATAAAGTGATTGAAAAAAATAAAAGATAGATAATAAAATGGAGACTCAGAAAGGTTAATACAGGCCCAGAGTCAAGACCATATTTGCACCTTTGGAGCATGGTTTCTTATTATGCTCACACATAGTAGTTAAGAGTTCATACTCAAAATGATATGGTTACTTCTTATAATCATAAGCTATATTTGAAATAATTTAGAGAAGCCTTCGGGTTGTTAACTTACTAAACAACAACAAAACCCAATGCCATCCAGTTGACTGTATCTTATAGCAACTCTATATAAATCTTTATGGGGGTAGATAGCCTCATTTTCCTCTTGTGTAGTGGCCGATGGGTTTGAACTGTTGACCTTGCAGTTACCAGCCTGATGTATGTTGACTATTATTATTTTTTACAATCCTATGCTATTATATTATACATAATATTATATATTTAACATATAATATATATAATACCATACATATTTTATAATCCTATGCTAACTTTATTCTGGGAAGTCTCCTTCCCTGGTATAAATATTCACACCATGCCTCATTTCAAGCTTATAGGAGTTGACTGGCTCACCAATTCCTGAACATTTAATAACTGGGAAGTTGGTTCAAACCTGTGCTTGTAAAGCACTGCAAATTCCTGAAGCTAGCTCTTCCCTCTTCCACAAGCCTGCATTTGGAGAATCTATGAGATTTTATATCTATATCTATCTATCTATCTATCTATCTATCTATCTATCTATCTATCTATCTATCTATCTATTTGTAGATAGGTAGAGTTATAAAAATACATATAGCTTATATATACATACAGACACACATATAATTTATATATAAGCATATATAAACAGACACACACACATATGGTTTATACCACTTTATGGCAGACTCTGCAAAGAAAATGCTGGCAAATTTTATGGGTAACAAGTCCTCTCATGTACATTTCACTTTGCTGCAGTGTTAGTAGCTACCGTTGAGTTGACTCCCCATCAAGTGACCCATTTGGGCAAAGCAGAACTGCTCTGCGAGGTTTTCTTAGAAGTAATCTTCATGGAAGAGGATTGCCAGTCTGTCTGAGGGGCCAGGGGTGAATGTGGACCGACAACTTCTCAGCATAGTCAAGGTACTTACTGTTTGCAACACCCTGAGTCTCCTTGCCTTATTAAACATGTAGAGTAATACCACAAATTATGTGAAAGGCTCATCTGTTTCTCTATTTTGTTGATCAGAAACTGAGGCTCAAGGGAGTTCACATTTAGCCTAAATATTTAGTCTACATAATTCTGCAGACCCAAGACAAAATGAAAAGGCAAGACCCTTTGTTTTAAATTTAAGAAGTTCACGGCACTGGCAGCAGAGCATTAAAGTAAATCAAGGTACTTCCAGGCATGAGGCCTTGTACAAATGCACCGTTTATACACCCATGAAGCCTGTCCTAGCTGGGGAGTGGAAGAGGTGGGATGTGAACTCAGATTTTTAGCCTAAATACCCTATTGTTATGTATCCCTCCTAAGTAAAGAATCTTAGTATAAATTACTGATATGTATATGTAGAATTGAATTTAAGAATTAGAAATTATATATTGTTGACCTATTTCAAACACACAAATATACATCTGTACTTGATTCAGTTTGAAAACGCCTATGTTGCAACACCTCTACATTATCTTCAATCACAATATGTATATTCAATCTCAATTTCTTATTTACTTTACATTTCCTGTAGGCAGTTTTAGAAAGGAATCTTCTCAGAAATGTCCTTAGTTATCTAATTTACATGGGTTTCCACTTTGAAGAAAAAGGTACCAACTAATGATTTCAAGCTTTAAAATTTAAATGATCCTACCTAACCTACTCTCCCTACCCCCATTAGCCATAGTATTCTTATTTTTAAGTTAGGCAATTTTATGTCTTGGGGATTTTGTACAAACATGCACATTTTTGTCTCCCATTAAAAATGTTCAGCAACCGTCCAGGGTCTAACTTTTCCCCCAAATGAAACGGGCCTATGCACAACAGCTAACGGTGAAATCGCTATTTTTCGAAGTGCCAAGCTCAGGCTGATGGGTTTTATTACTTAGATTCTCAGACTCAAAAATCATTGTGTCCCATGAAATAAATGGTGATATATGATAATGAAGTAATAAAATGTGAGGAGAAACCCCTCTTTATATAAAATAGCATTTAGAAGTTTTATGTAGCACTTTTATGTAGCATCTGGGTTCTACTACTGTATTTTTGATGATTTTAAAGAAATCAGAAAATTCCCCACAATAAACAATTGAAAAGCACTTCAAGTTTAATCTATGCAAACAACCAACTGATGGTTTATAATGAATTACAAGCTAGAAGCTGAGACTCAATATAAACATCGTTCTCAACATTTCTATTTACCTGATGACTAACCTAAACTATTTAATTTTTTTTTTATGCATGGAACAGTGGAAGGTGAGAGGAAAAATACTCCCTGGACACATGGAAGGAGGCTACAAGCAAGTCAGTCAGTACACGAATAGGCCTTTAAGATGGTTTCTAAAGCATTAAAAAATTGTGAATGGGAAATGGAAGCAAATGGATCACCAGAGAGTTGGCATTTTTACATCTGGCATTGAGATGACAGCATTTCAACCATGTATGACTTATCCATCAGCCATGGTTGTGTTACCTGCTCAGATCTGCTCTGTTGCTGGTGTTGATACTGAGAAAAGGTATTACGAGAAGCGGCGATTTCATCCTCGAATTGCCTCTTCACCCTGGCCAAGCCACCAGGGACACTGCGCATTTCTGCTCCCTCCATCATCTGAGGGGGCGTAAGGAAAGGAAAGTTCCACTTTACATTCGGCTCGGGGTGGGATTCTCAAACTTACGTTAAAAAAAGTGTGGACATTTATATGAACACACAATTAGTTTAATAGACTCATATCCAAACCCTAGTAAAAACAGTATCTCCATCTCAGCTTTTTGATATAAAGTTAGGAATTATTCAATTAATTCTCCTCCTTTCCTCAACTACATGTTGACACTGGATTCTATTTGAATAACCATCACTCTGTCTATTGTCATGGACTCAAAAATAAAATAATAATAGACCAAACAAACCCATGATCATCGAGTGGCTATGAACTCATAGTAGAAATGTTCTACTCTCAAGAATAAAATTGTCCCCTGGTGAATCCCATCTGACCATGGACCAGGGATGTGAACAGACTTGCTATCATGCAGAATGCATTGAAAAATGGATGGTTGCAGATGCAGTTAAGTTAAATTTCGCACCCTATCACTCGACTGCCCTTACAGTTCATTTGAATTTGTTCTAGATTTCAGTATTTTCTGCTTTCTTTTCAATTGAGGTTTTGATCTATTTAACTTTGTTATTCTTGTTAGGTTTTTAAAATGCTTCTTTGTTTTGTTTTCTGTATAGGAGAATCAGGATAGGTAAATCTATAGAAACAGTAACTGGACTAATGACTAATGATGCCTTGGGGTGGGGAGATGGGGAACTAATAGCAGTGATTACAAGAATAAAGAACATGTTCAAAATGGATTGTGGTGATGACTATACAGCTCTTCTTGGCGTGACTGAACTATGGCATTGTATGATATGTGATTGTCTGCAACAACAAAAAAAGAGTAGAACTCTCCCTGAGGTTTCCAAGGGTGTGATTTTTGGGGAAGCAATTGGCATTCCTTTCATTCATGGTTTAGTGGGTGGTCTCTATCCACTGTGCCACCAGGGATCATATTACTATAGAGATACCTTTTAATAGACTCAATTAGAACTATGAGAATACATATCTATAGTAATACATGGAGTATTTGCCATTAAAAATGATGGAATAAATGTAATCCAAAGTAAGGTTATTATTTATATTCCAAGTAATCTCCAAAGATAACACACTGTTAACAGTTATCAATATTATTTTGACTCACTCAACAATTTATTTAAATCACTTAAGCAGGAACTAAAAGGAGAGTCTCAGAACAAGTCTTTGAGAAAAACCCACCTCTATCTGTCTTAGTCACCAGGCTCCAAGGACAGGCAGAAAGCAGGAGCTGCACGTGTCCAGCATTGACCTACTCTGGGACTCATGTGTGAGGAACAGGGACTTCATGTTAGAATGAGTCTAATCTAGCAGGCGAGGAAACTGATCGTGACTGCTATTGACGAGAAAACATTTGAGGCAAACTGTCTGAATGTATTCCCTTGGTATATATAAAAGAGTTGCTCAGGGCCTTTGCTTTTGATGATTTAGCACACTCAAGAGCTCACTGGTATCCAAGCTCAGATGGAATGACACTCTTAAGCAAACAGGCCCCAAGCCAACCCACCCGAGCAGGACTCCTGAGGTCTGACCCAGTCCTCACATAACCTTGGAAGGCTTGAGCGCTGGGAGTAAGCCAAGAGTGGTGCTCCCAAACTACGGGTTGTGGACCCCTAGGGGGTCTGGAATCTTTCATAGCAAATGTAGAGTTTTCTCAAACAGAAGGTTTCCCATATGTAGAATTTTTTAAATACTGAATTTTTAATCCAGATTATCTGATTTACTAGCAAACACCCAAGTGGTTGCTTACCAAACTCATACTGTTTTTCCCTACAATAAACCCAAGCAAACAGGGTTTCTGAGTATATGAATCTTCATAGGAGCAGATAGACTCATCTTTCTTTGAGGCACAGCAGGTGGGTTTGAACTGCCAACCCTGTGGATAAGTCACCCAAGGCAGCAGGACTCCCTGTCCCCTTCCATGGACTATCATCTTTTATTGGCTCAGTTTTGAGGGGAGACAATAGTGCAGTTATCTCTACTAGATATATATTCTGAGAAATTCTGCAGCAACCTTCAAATGGTCAAAGCTTGCCCAATTACTGTCACTTGATAGGTAGTAAGGTCATGAAAGACTATGGCAGCCCTTCTGAAATTTAAGACAGAGCAAAGCAGGGAAGGGGGTGAATTAAGGTCACATATTTCTTGTCTCCTCTCTGCCTTTTAATTGACATAAGTGATCACGTTGGATAGGATATATCATATGTGGACAATATGTAAACATGAAATTAAATCAGATACTTGTGAAAAAAATTCAATAGCTCATAACAGTGTCCAAATTATATGGAAACTAATCTGATAAGCCTCGGTATTATGCTAGGAATGGGACACTTGCCGAGTATGAAGGGGCTTCAAAGAGTTCTTGGAAAGATTCCACTATATTTTAATTCATTTCCCCACAAACATTTTGAAGCCCCTGTGCAGTTTTGCCCACGTACTGGTTCTGCTGATGGACAGTTCACCTCTAAGTTACCGGAAGGGTATCTGGTTTGGAACCAGACCACTTTACACATGGGAAAATACATACCACTGATTACATCTAAGAGCAACGCATTATTACCCTGATAATCTCATGCAAATATTATACCATTGCTGTGGTTCCTGCTGCCGCTGAGCCCCAGTTGAGCCTGGTCCCATGAGCTGCAGTTTAGATAGGCATTGGAAGCTCAATATATAAATGCATATGGGACCCGGCCAGACATATTCAAGGAGCAGGTGTGGTTATGTACGAGGTGATCCTGCCTTGCTCAGATGAGAATGCTTCTATGATTTTTGCCTTATTCAGCACCCTGTTCTAGATATTTCAATTGATCCAATTGTTATTGAGTAGACTCCAAATCATGGCAATCCCATGTATGCATGGGATTAAAGTCATGCTTCCTCGTCAATGATCAATTTTTTAGACATAGATTGATCACCTATGCTTTCCTCTGAGGTACCACTGCATGGACTTGAACCTCTAGCCTTTCACTTAGCAGCTGAGTGCATTAACAATGTGTGCCCTTCAGGATAGGCGTCAATGACCATGTATCTTAAAGTGCTCGGTGATGAATCTTTGTATGCTTATTCTAATTCTGTGTTTCTTATTCGATGATTCTGGAACAAGATTTGGAAACCTAAGTAAATATATGAGTGCTTCCACTACAGAGTAGATTCGAGAATCTTCAGAACTTCCATTTTCTTTTTCAGAAAGTGAGAATAATAATTTCTTGCATTTATTTTAAAAAGAAAATCAATTTGCATAGCATCGGATCTGGCATTTTCTCACTCAGTGAAAATACCTACAGTACAAAAGTAACAAAGGTAACTTTTTCACATTCTTGAGGTGTCTGAAGACATCTGCCTTCTCATCATCATGCGTTTTGTCCAGATTCAACCAAATGCCATCTTGGTGGAGAAGTAGGTCATTGTCAGCTCTCTACAGGTGATGGAGACACATTGGATTCCATTGGTGCAGAATCAGTGGTTTCTAGAGTTTCTACTTAAAATATTTGAGGCAATCGTGTAGGTAAAAGCCCTGATCAGTTTTCATGATTTCCCCCAGAATTGAACAAGCTCATAAGGTAACTGATCAAACAAGGCAGGTATTTTTCTTTTTTTAACCCAGATTTCGCTGAGAAAATATGTGTACTACTCCTTTCCACAAAATTTATTTAGAACCAAACCAAATAATATTAGTTGGAAAAGAAAAGCTTATGTGAGAGGAAACAGTTCAATATAGTTAAATGGGTCTGCAGTTCAATAGGCTAAGACTCTAGGCGAGCTTTCTTTTTTTTAAAAAAAATTAGTAATTTGGATTAATACATATATCAAATCATTCCACAACTATCTACTTGTGTTCTCACAGATGGGCCAAAAGATAAGATCATGATGAATGGAGAAAAGACCAGTGTTGTCAAGGATTTTATATGACTTTTATCCACAATTGGCATTCATGAAAACAAGAGTAGAAAAAAAAAATCACATGACCTACTGCATTGGGTTAATTTGCTGCAAGAGGGTTCTTTCAATGTGAATGATCTTAGATGCCAATTTTTTTGAGAACTAGGGTAGCCTTGACCCAAGTCATGGTATGGTCAATCACCTTGTGTGCATAAGAAAGCTGGACTATGAAGAAGGAAGACTAGAGAAAATGTGCCTTTAAACTATGGTGTTGCTGAAGAAATCCAAATTACCATCGGCTTCTAAAAGAAGAAGCATATCTACCTTAGAAGAGGTGCTGCTAACATGCTCCTCCTTAGAAGTGAGGAGGTCACACTTTGTTCCATATACTTTGGAACTGCTATTAGGAGGTACCCGTGCCTATCAATTAGAAGGACCTCATGCTTGGTCGATCAGAGAGTCCATTAAACGGGGAAGGCAGCCTAGAGGAATGATTAACACAGTGGTTACAACTATTACCTCAAATTTAATAAAGCTTGTGAAGATGGTTCATTCTGTTGTGCATAGGTTGCTCTGATATAACATCAGCAACAATAATTGGATCTTGTCTTTAGGTCAATTCAAACTGGTATAGATACTAATTGTTTGATCCCTGTAATTCATTTATCTGCAGATTTCTTGAAAAATGGGCATGGAAGTTCCAAGAAGGGGTGCGGTGGGGGGAATAAAAAAAGTGAAATGAAATGGCATTTAAGTTTTTTAATTTTATATTAAATAGTGAAATATTTTCATTTATTTAAGCAGCGATGGTGGTGCTATGGATTAAGCATTGAGTGCCAGTAGTCAATTTGGGGTGAGAAAGATAAGGCTGTCTATTCCAGCATAGAATTACAGCTTTACACTGTCCTATGCCATCCCTTATTAAGTTAGGATTGACTCAATGGCAGTGGGTTTTTGTTCCCTTATGTGGCATGATTATAGTTTCCAAAATATAATTTACTAAATTAATCCTCCTTAAGGAGGTATTTTCAAATGAACTGTTTCCCAAAGATCCTGCCTGTCACCAATTTAGAAGAGTTGTATGTAGTAATGTTCTGAATGACCCAGCAGGGGGTGCTATCTAAACAGATTGACAGGAGGCGCTGGCATTATACTATTTGTTTGGGAAGTGATCTAGCTACTTATGTCATTTAGATGCATTCATTCAAAAAATCTAAGCTGTGTCTAAAATGTACTATAATGACTATGTAAAAACCCAAATGTCATCTAGAAATGCAATCTTGCTAATGAGTTTGGCACAGCCAGCCTGGTCTCTCTAAACCATTTGTCAAGAGTGTTAGCAACGATTTCCAAATAGCACTCGTGGTAGGCATTCTTTCTCGTTCCCTTCCTCGGCCCGTCCCTGTCGCTCTCAGCGCGTTTTTGGTAGATTGAAAGAAAAGCTTTGCTAATTTGAAGATTAGAATGATAAATTCTATGTTCTTATATTCCATTTAAGCTGGAAAGCTTCTACTCCTAAAATGACTCATCAAATCTGGTGGATTGAAGGCTACAGAATACGAAACTCAAGACATTCCTTTAATATGACTTTCATTGTGTGCTGGCTCTAAAACCTTGGTGGTCTCACTGAATCCTGCAGTTCCATATAATTATAATGGGTTTAGCGGAGAGCCTCCATTGCTAATCTCTCTCATTTCTAGGTTGATTAAGCTACTCCTAATGGATTTAGTGCATACAGAGAAACGAGAAAAGCAAAAGAAATTATACTGCCAATGCATTTACACGTACCCTGTATGGGACCAAGGAGGGGGATGGGCAGCCCCACATCATTAAAATTTGAAATTAATTACCAACTTTCTTGAGGAGCATAGCTGTATGTTACGTGATAAAGGTGACAATAATAATATTTGTACAGTGCTTGTGGCTTGCACATGAAACATCCCCTCAACTTCTCCTCAACAGCTCCTGTGATGGTTAGTAGCCTTAGGTCAGCACCAACGCGCGGAGACCTCACGCGGTGTTTCCTGGTGCCAATCTTGACACGAACCAGCTGCCAGGACATTCTCTTGCAAAGCCACCGGGTGGGTTTGCATCTGGAGATTTGAAGCAGCTCGCAAACTCCATGGAATAGATCCACGAGCAAAGCTTTAAGGATCGTTTCATTCTACTTTTCCACAAACTTAAAAGACTCATGTATAACTTAAAAAAAAAATTAGGTTGTGGGGACTGAAGCTCAGCAGGGTTTGGGTGAGTAGGGCAGAATGCACACAGGTAATACGTAGCAGAGCGGAGAACGCAAATAAGGACCTTCAGGATTGGATCACGTGCTCTCCTGGCCCCTGTTCCCACTTAGCGACCTCCCCCCCTCCCCCAAGTCCAAGATCATTCTTACACTGCAAATGCAAGGGGCAGTGGGAAGGGCAGGCCACAAGCACGGTGCCTAACGCAGAACCACCAGGAGCAGCTTACATTGGCAGAGAAGCTGCGGCAGTCGCCCCTTGAAACAGCTGCCTGGTACCTCGCCATCCGCTCCTTCAAGGAGACCACCTCCTGGAGGTCTGACAGCCCCGCGCTGCTCGCCGCTCCGTCTTCTGAAAATCCACTCGCCGGCTTCCTAGGGCCCACGGTAGCTGAAAACAAATGCAGCAAGCTCAGATGTGTGCCAGGCTTTGAAAAGCCAATAGTATCACCTCATGAACAGCGAAGACATGAAGAAGTCTGGTCTTCTAAAACAGACTGCCACATTTAGGAGCATTTTCAATAGTTCATGGCCACCTTGTTCTTTGCAAGTCAGACATGAGACTCGCCATCGATGAGCATATGTTTGTATACACATCAGAAGAAAATATGGCCTCCACTCCTGTTTCTGGAATTATTCTGATGTGAAAGAGTTACGAAAACCTTTTTAGCATGCAAATAACCAGTACTTTTTTCAATTTCTGTGCTGGGATTATACACAATGCTATAAGAACATTTCTCATTTACTTATCTAAAAACCCCATGAGATAGGTGCTGGAAATGACTGTAATTTACAGATAAGAAAAGAGAGACTAGTAGAAGGGAAAGCGAAGCTTTCCCATGATCACAAATCAAAATGCGGCAGATGTGAGTACGGTGTGAGCAAACTGGTAACAGGTCTCCAGGTCTGAAGCTGCTCTTTGCTTTTCTCTGCGAGCTAACACAGGTGAATGCTCTAATTGTGGGCTGTGCAGTTTATTCGTCGAGACGGGCTCCGTAAGAAACAATAGTATCATTAGACACAATTTTGTTAGTCACTTATTTCAGAGAGTTGACTCTTTTCCAATGCGAGCCATCTACCTGACCAAGCCACAAGGCAGCAGGGACTGCCTACCCCAAACCGAGCAGAAGACTGGCGCCCGGCGTGGTCATGGAATCACTGCGCGCAGACGCGGAAGGGTCTTAGGGATCATCTAGCAGCAAGAAACGAAGAGTAGGAGTTGATGTGATTTCCCAGTTATTTAGTTCCTCTGTGCCACCACAGGGTCTTAAAAGTAGTTTTGTTTTGTTTCTTAATCTATTGCCCTTGGCTATGTTATCCCTCCACTTGTTGTTTTATCATTTACTTTTATAAATCCAACATCATTTGAAAGACCCCATCTGGCACCCATGGGGCATGGCGTAAGAATACCTGCCTGCGTGTGCATGTGTGTCCTTAGGGCTACATATCTCTGCTTATTTGTATATATCCATCTCTCCTTCATGGTCCCTGGGGATTATTTGGAATACAGGCATTCCCTGATTTTTGAAAGATTGCTTTAAACCATGTTGCCTTTTAGGAAACATCTATAGTTAGTACCTCTTTCATTGGTTTGGGCCGTTTGAAACCACCAGTTGCTTCATGGGAGCAAAATGAGGCTTTCTACCCATGTGAGCAATGAGAGTAATGATACCAGAAGGGTAGTGGGAAGGTGGAAGAGGAGGGGAGGAAGGGGGGAACCGATCAAAATGATCCACACATAACCCGCCCCCCCCCCGGGGGGGGGATGAACAACAGAAACTGTGGGGTAAAGGGAAACAGTGCTCGGTGTAAGATATGAAAATAATAATAATTTAAGGGATCACAAGGATGGGGGGAGAGAAAAAAGAGGTGCTGATACTAAGGTCTCAATAGAAAATAAATGTTTAGAAAATGATAATGGCTACATATATACAAACGTGCTTGATACAACTGGTGTATGGATTATTATAAGAGCTGTAAGAGCCCCCAATAAATGATCTTAAAAAAAGAGGGGGGAAAAGAGTTGCGGTCTCCGAAACCCCCAGGGGTAGTCTACCCTGTTTTGTGGGGGAACAGGAGTCGGATCGACTCGACGGCAGTGAGCTGTTTCTTGTTTTAACTGATAGAAGTGAGAAGGAAATTGTCACAAATTCTGAAAGAAAAGAAGGAGAAAAGGAGCATGTGAAACCAGCAGCCAGCATTTGTTTCTCAGCAAGACATTGCAGAAGGAGTGAGCAGTGCACGCGGTGGCAGTGGAGTCCCCAAACGCCTTCCCCACAAACGACCCTCAACACCCCACCTCCGAGCTGCCGGACCTGTCCACTGGGATCACTGGACCTGAGTGGTCTCTGAAGCTTTAGGTGTGATTTCATAGGTTATTTGTGGAGAGGAGAGGCATCTTGGGAAGCTAAAAAAAATGTCCATATAAAGTAATGACAATTGCTTCAATTTGTGTCATTTAGTGTAAAGAAATTTTCATCCAAGCGCTCTATTCGGGATCCATGATGATTGGGATGGGTTTGACTTTTTCACTACCAGCCAATGCCCACTCAAGCAAGGTAACAACAGACAGCCAAGCTACTCCCTCCCGTCCCTCGAACTCAGTCGCCTGGCATTAAACCATTCTATTGAATAGTTTGCTTTTCCTATCAGCACCTTCAATGTTTACGTTCCTAAGCGCAATGGAGAACAATTTCTCTGGGCCAGAAGTAAAGAAATACAACCAGAGTTTCTGACTCTTTCACTGAGTATTTGCTTACCACTGAGACTTCTTTTTCCAAGAAACATCCCCACATATCCTGATGGAAATTGCAAGTATATTCTATCTAATATGCTAGAAAGAAGATTCAGAACATCAAGGGAGGAGGAGATGTGTGCTATGGGTGATGTGGTTGGATACCACACTGATTTGTGTTCACCATGCATCGGTTATTTTTCAAACGCCCCTGTCGTCTGAAGTCTCCCCTCCATCTCCAGGTAATTCTGATAATAAGAGTTCCTACAAACCAAAGTAAGTCTTTCCCCACACCCCCTCTGCACTGTCTATCCGCCCAGAGGAATTCAATTTTATTTAAATGTACTCTTGTTACTTTGCTGAAAGGGCACTATATATATTTGATTAAACATGATTCCCATCACTTTTCTCCAATTTAAACCGTGAATTTTACTTTGTGTATTACTTATAACGGCCACCACCTCCCCTGAAGAAACATGTTCATTCTTGTATGAATCTTATCAGCAATTCAGCAGTTTAGTTTTGATTAAATTTACAGAAATTCTATTTACATTTAAAGTACTACATTTTTATCGTTTTTCATCCCACTGAAAAAAGTAGAGATTCACTATCATGAAATCAATGATGAGTATTTAATAGACTTAATCACTGCATTGTAGTCTTTTAGGCTCATCACAGAAAACACAGAAGGAAAACCAACTCTCTCTCTCCCTCCTTCCCCCTCCCCAACCCCATCTCTCTGTCTATCTATAACGTTGCCTCTCAACTCAATTAGGACAAAACTAAGGATGTAATTGCCATTGATTTGAGTGCAACTGCTATATACCCCACGTATGAGAACATCAGAAATGAGATGTGCTTCATAAGATTTTCAGTGATTGATTTTTAATCTTTGGGTCTTTATTCCTCAGCACCTCTGGTGGGCTTGAACTTTCAACTTTTCCATTAGCAGCTGAGCAAACTGACCTTTTGTAGCCCATGGATCCTTAGGTGGGGCCCAAAACTTAAAACTAGAAACTAACTGCTATGGAGTCAGTTTGAACCTATATGACTGAGTAGAACTTTATCCTAGGGTTTTTGAAACAGCCTCATCTTTCTCCTGAGGAGTGACTGGTAGGTTTAAACTGTCGAACTTGCAGTCAGCAGCCCAAGTGATCCACTATGTCACAAGGGCTCCCTTACATGTGGGGTGTGGGCTGGGGCTTGAGTTAAAACAGTATCAGGAGGTAACAGGTGGTGCATCCTAGTTTCCTGCTAAAACATCAAACCTGTTGCTGTTGATTTTGACTTGCACTGACTATAAAGGACAGAGTAGACTCGCTCACAGGTTTTCCAAGCTGTGATCTTTTTGTGTGTGTGTGTGGGGGGTTTGATCTCTTTTTTAAAAAAAATCATTTTATTAGGGGCTCATAAAACTCTTATCACAATCCATACATAGGTCAACTGTGTAAAGCACATTTGTACATTCGTTGCCCTCATCATTCTCAAAACATTTGCTCTCCACCTAAGCACCTGGCATCAGCTCCTCATTTTTCCCCTCCCCCTCCACTCCCCACTCCCTCATGAACCCTTGATAATTGATAAATTACTATTTTGTCGTATCTTGCCCTGTCTGACGTTTCTCTTCACCCACTTTTCTGTTGTCCATCCCCCAGGGAGGAGGTAACATGTAGATCCTTGTAATCGGTTCCCCCTTTCCAACCCACCCTCTCTCCACCCTCCCAGTATTGCCACTCACACCACTGGTCCTGAAGGGATCATCCACCCTGGATTCCCTGTGTTTCCAGTTCCTATCTGTACCAGTGTACATCCTCTGGTCTAGCCAGACTTGCAAGTTAGAAATGGGATCATGATAGTGGAGGGGAAGGGGGGTAGGGGAAGCATTTAGGAACTAGAGGAAAGTTGTATGTTTCATCGTTGCTACATCGCACCCTGACTGGCTCGTCTCCTCCACAGACCCTTCTGTAAGGGGATCTCCAGTGGTCTACAAATGGGCTTTGGGTCTCCACTCTGCAGTCTCCCCCTTATTCACTATGGTAAGATTTTTTGTTCTGATGATACCTAATCCCTTCGACACCTTGTGATCACACAGGCTGGTGTGCTTCTTCCATGTGGGCTTTGTTGCTTCTGAGCTACATGGCCACTTGTTTACCTTCAAGCCTTTAAGACCCCAGATGCTATACCTTTTGATAGCCGGGCACCATCAGCTTTCTTCGCCACATTTGCTTATGCACCCATTTGTCTTCAGCAATCATATCATGGAGGTGAGCACACAATGATATGATTTTTTTTCTTTGATGCCTGATAACTGATCCCTTCAGCACCTCGTGATCACACAGGCTGGTGTGCTTCTTCCATGTGGGCTTTGTTGCTTCTGAGCTAGATGGCCACTTGTTTACGTTCAAGCCTTTTAGACCCCAGACGCTGTATCTTTTGATAGCCGGGCACCGTCACCAAGCTGTGATCCTTATGGAAGCTGACAGCTGCATTTTTCCCCCTGTGGAGCAGCAGGCAGGTTCAAACCACTACTGACCTTTCAGCTGGTAGCTTGATCCTCCTTCACTGTGTTACTGGGGCTCTAACCTCCAAAGTCAATGTATATCAGTTTCTTCCTCTGAAAAACAAGATCATGTTTCCTGCCTAGTCAAACCCATGGA